CACAATGATTATGGTGTTATTATATGTTTACATGTCGACGACTTGCTAATTTTTGGTACAAAAATGAAAGGTGTATTAGAAACTAAAGAGTATCTAAATTCAAAATTTAAGATGAATGACTTGAATGAAGTAGATACTATCTAAGGAATTAAAGTAAAGAAGCATAGTAGGGGTTACACTTTGTGTCAGTCACATTATATAGAAAAATTACTTCTTAAGTTTAAGCATCTACAAATGAAAGAAGCAAATACCCCTTATAAGCCTAGTGAAACTTTGCTTAATAATTCTAGTAGGTCCATTGCACAGCTTGAGTATGCTAGTGTAATTGGAAGTTTAATGTATGCCATGCACTGCACCATGCCAGATATCGCATTTGCAGGAAGCAAATTTTCTAGATACACTAGTCATCTAGATACTGCTCATTGGAAGGCAATAAATAGAATTTTTTTGTTATCTTAAAAGAACTATTAGCCTGAGTTTAACTTATTCTGAGTTTCTAGCAATACTTGAAGGATATTCAGATGCAAGTTGGATAACAAGTGCTAATGATAACAAGCCTACATCAGGGTGGATTTTTACAATTGTTGAAGGAAGAATTTCTTGGGCTTCGAAGAAGCAAACATGTATAGCACATTCAACTATGAAATTTGAATTTATAGTATTAGCGGCAGCAGGTAAAGAAGCGGAATGAATTAGAAATTTGTTATTGAAAATAGAGTTGTGGCCACAACCAATGCCATCTGGTTCCTTATATTGTGATAGTGAAGTTACTTTGTCTAGAGCATACAATAAGGTATACAATGGAAAGTCTAGATATATTAGCTTGAGACATAAATATGTCAAGCAATTAATAACTGATGGGGTTATTAATATTATTTATGTTAAATCAATTAATAACTTGGCGGATCCGTTAACAAAAGCACTTTCCAGAGCTTTGGTAGTTAGCACATCTAGTGGAATGTGGCTAAAACCCTTTACTGAAAATTAGCCACCAATAATGGTAACCCGACTTTGTCTAGAACATCACTAGTTTAAAAGTTTAATGGGTAATAACAAATTATTGATAAGTGTCTGTAAAAGCACTAAAAATTATTATATAGCTCATTCCAGGATGATTAATGCAAGACTGCTACGTTTAGGAGGATGAGTTTTATCTCTTAATGAGGTTATTTGTAGTTATGTCTATAGTAGCAGAGACATGAGAATGAACATCACCTATATGAACATAAGAAGTGGTGTTGCTTCTACCAAGAGTTGGGTTTTCTCTTGTAAATGTTCATGAAACCAAGATGAAACAGAAGGCCATAATAGTGCTTAATTAGTTCAGAAATTTCTTTAAAGAAATAAGACATAGTCATGTGTGTAGTGATTCTGGTTTTAACATAAGAATAGTTGGTTTAAACTTAGGTCGCCATCGCATTCGTTATAACTTTGAATTACTTACACTAATTAAAGGTTTAGTTCAAAAGATATCTTTATTGTATGCATGATTATATCGGTATGCTTGTGATAATTATAAAGAGAGAATTGTTGTAATATCATTTTCTATGTATTCTTAAAATAGGGAAGGATTGTTGAATATTTAAAATATATATATATGCGGTTGTTTGATGGAAAGTTGGGTTATTGACTCGACAATCATATCTCTTCAATTTGAAGCATTGCAGCTTTTCATTGTTGCTAACAAAGATGGACAAGGATTGTCTGCCCTCCCACTTCCAATACCCTTCCGTACCCTCCTGTTTGTGTGGTCATGGTTAAGTCATGTCAACATTTTATATTATTATTCATTGTTGTCTTATTATCTCTATTAAAAAAATAATATAAAATATTAACGAGGCTTAACCGTAATCATACAAAAATGGAGGGCACAGAAGGGCACCGGAAGTGGGAAGGCAGACAATCCTTGTCCAACAGAGATACCCATTGGTTGGGCATCTGACCGCATGCTTTACAACGTATATGACCTTTGGGTAATTGGTGTTTTGTATCAGATATGTCCATTGGACATACTGCTGCAATGAGTTGTATCCCATGGTAAAAAGGCATACTCAAACCAAAGGATGTGTCTAACGAGTGTAAATCTCTCTATATATATTGGTAACATTAGTAGAAGAGAATTTCATTTAGAAATTCATTGTCTATACAATTGCTTTGCTCTCTTTTGTGTTTGACATTCATACACTTTTTTTCTAGTTATTTATAAGGGAATACAATCGGTTTTGCTAATCGAATATTCCATACTTTTTGTATCCTAGAAGTGATTTGCCAAGAACCTTTTAGCAAACTCATTCGAGTGAGGGCAAATAACACTTTAAGAAAACGATTCAAGTCGTACTTCAAAGTCATCATTCGGATTATTCTCTATTTTTCTACATTTACTCTAACATAGCTAGCTTTTGTCGACCTTGAGTCGTGTTAAAAGTTTCCACTGATCTTCCTATTACGATTGAGAATAATGTTCAGCATATTCTTGAAACTTGTGGATTCCAGCTGAATACATCTAAACCTCAAAAGATGTAGATAAAATTTCACCGGTAGATATTGTCGCTCTGTAATAGTAGAGGCCTTTCAGACCAATGAAACGGGTAAGCTTTCCTCCTCCTCTTTTCAAAGATTTTCTTGTTTTTCCCCCATTCATGAAGGTAATTAGTGTCGTTGTTGCTCAATTATAATATTTCACATGACTCTGCTTTCTCTATCAATTGACCAGTGACAAAGAGCATGCCGTTTCCAAAAAAAAAACAAACAAAAAAAAAAAAAAAAAGAAAGAGAGACGCCCATGCCAGTGATAGGCTGATTGTTTGACGATGGCCCTACTAGGGCAAATCCTGGGCCACTAAGAGACCGCGACGTGCAAATGGCCTAATGGATAGTTAAAAGAGGACAAGATGCCAATCAAAATCAGAGAGGAAAGGATAAATTATGAAAGGTTGTGAAAACTTGGGCTAATTATAGCCAGCATTATTGGAGTTTTCTTGCAGACTTACTATTATATATAATTGTGAGTAGTGGCGTAATGTTGCATACAAATACGAAGAAGGGCAAACAAGTAACTAGCAACAAGAGGATGATCTGATCAGCTGGATTTTCACCTGACACCTGTATACCCCAATCCCCTCACGTCTGCAATTCTGCTAGCTAGCGTGAGAGACTATATGGACAATATTTAAAGGGGCGTGGCTCAATTGTAATTGGCTTTTATGGTTTGAGGATTAGTATTTGTGTGGGCGGAATGAATTGCAGCTTAAAACCCTTTGTCCTGTCTCACATCTCTGTGTGGCGCAATATGACTCAATCCATCGATGGGTGTGGTGTTGATATGGAGGAGGGCGGCATTGAGACGCTTTTTTCCTACCGTCACTTATGAGTTACGTGCGTACAAATCACGTGTTAACATAATATAAAAATGTTCATGCGTAATTGTGATTATGTATTGTTTTCTTTCATTTCATGACTTCACAATATAAAAAGTTTATACATAATTACAACATATGTATATAGTATATGTATACAATTATGTACTATATCTCTCATCATATGACTTATTTACGATGAGAGATACAAAATACAAGATTGTATACAAAAATTAAAGAGTTACTTCATAAAAGAAGTTAACCCAAAGAGTTTGCCTTCTAACAAAATTGAGATTAATAAGCATTATCACTTACCTTATCTTTCTTTCTGCCTTATCCTTCTTATTTGCTGATGAGGTAATGAGAAAGGGATGGGTGAGGGACAAAACAACGTGTGGAATGATGGGTGATCAGCAAGAAAAAAAAAAAAAAAAAACAATGATACCTAGAGTGAAAACTAAAACAATAATTTAGAGGCAATTCGAACTCGTGTTAACTATCAAACTTTGATTTCGCATTCTCTTCCTCTTTATTAATTTTCATACGGATTTCTTCTTTACTTCTAATTAAACAAACGAAAACTAAGGGGTGTATTGAGTAGAGATTTTGAAGGGTTATAACCCACAAAATTTTGATGGAGCTTTAACAGAAAGTCATGGCTCGTGAAGGGAGGAGATTTTATATGCATGCTTTTAATTTTGTTTAACTAGTGAATGACGATGAATAATTGTTTACCTAGTGACTAAGACAACGATCTCAGAGTTTTAATTGATTTCTACGTACTTGGGCTGGATTTGTTGTATGCTTAAAATACTATATCAAATCTCTCCAAATTCACCTAAATTCCTACTTTTTGAAATTCTTTGAAATCAAATGCTAGGGACTGAACAAGAAATTTCAAAAACTCATTTCAAATCATAATTGAATACATTCGAATTCAGTAAAATTATTTTATAAACTCTTCTAAGATTCTAAATGAATACCCTTGAATTTGTAAAAAAAAAAAAAAAAAAAAAAATCTCCCATAATCCTAATTAAATGAACTGAACTTTAAAACTTCAATTAAAATTCTGTTTAAATACATCCATATGTTTGTAATCTTTCAATAAATCACAATTTAAAATCCTTTAAAAAAATCATAATTGAATGCATCCAGATTTTAATGGATTTTTATAAGGAGAACCGTTACAATTTTCTTTTTAGTTATCGAAAGTTTAGGACTGCAAAATGAGATTTACGTAGTGCCAATAACAATTTACTTTATAAATTATTTTAAAAATCAAATTGAATACCACTAAATTTGTAAAAAAACTTAAATTAAATCACGTAAAAAATTCTATTTGGATACTTTTCTTTATTATACAACGAATATTACTATTTTAGGACTGTACTAATTGGATACTCCTGTAACTATAGAAAATATAAGTGTCACTAGACAGAACCTACCAGATACCGCGACGTCACGGGACACATAATACGGGGCGTCGCATTCTGACTAAAATTTAAAAAAGCACTATTCATTCCATTATTGTGTGTGGAGCCAATCACTACTTTTCCAAGAGCCGTCAAGTTATTTCTTTTCTTTTCTAATCTTCCCCAGTATCCTTACTTCACGCCCATGCAGCTATATAAAGGCATGAGCGGCACCAATCTTGTATCAAACACAAAGGCGAGAGAGAAACAGAAACAGCCTGAAGATGTCTCTGAGAGAGTTTGGAGAGTTAGAAAACATGCCCACCGTTACACTCAGCAGTGGCTACGAGATGCCGGTCATCGGCCTCGGCCTCTGGCGTCTGGAGAAGAACGAGCTCAAAGACACCATCTTAAATGCTATTAAGCTTGGCTATCGCCATTTTGACTGTGCTGGTATACCCTCCATCACGCCTGATCCTGTTTTACATTAATCCATGCATATTTTACATTAATTTTGGTTTACTTCGTTCTAAATAATTCATAGTATTTTTATTAATTCAATCAAATACTGGCTAGAGAAGGAAGAATCGAATATCGGACTTGATGTGAATGGGCGGATGTTCCTGACTAGTGGACACAAAGTTATTAAACGGTTGACTATTTTTGCCACTAAGTGCTGGCAAACTATTAATAATTTGCTAAAAGGAATCACATGCATCATGCGTAAGTTTTTTTTTTCATGAACAAGAAAAGTGTACAAGCCATAAAGGCGGCGGCGGTGATGCAATCTGAACATAACTTTTTTGGTTACACGTGAGACAAGCAAAAGGAAAAAATGGATGTAATATACGTAAACGACTCAAACCATAGGAAGCCTTTGTCCGAAACCATGGGAAACCCGTTTGGTACTTTTATTGGTTACACTAATATATATACACACTAATACACACACACACATATATATATACACACACACACACACACATATATATATATATATATATAGTTATGATTCGGTGACATAAATTTTGACATTTATATTATAGGGTCCACTCCATAACATATTTGTTTACTATGAATTGTAATAAATGAGTGTTTTATGTTTTATTTGTTTAGGCCGAAAATGGTATTTTGGTTTATTCCAAAAATGGCAGTTTGTCTTTTAGGACGCGGATAAGCGCACCTCCCATGGTCACAATTGGCAGATTAGGCTAAGGCACTGAGTTAGACTATTATAAATGTATGTGTATAAAAGTGGAGAAGACAAATGAGTCCCAGACCTTCGCTTCCTATATTTTTCGACCAATCCCATGTTTGCTTCTCCCCTTGGGAAAGGGAATAATAATAATAATAATAATAATAATAATAATAATAATAATAATAATAATAACAGGAAAGTGTTATTGACACTCTCTCATAAGTGTATTTTTCTTTCAAATATAGAAAGTTTGTAGTGTAGAATGAGATTTTTGGAGTGGTAATAACAATTCCCTGATAATAATAATAATAATAATAATAAGATAAATGTTATTAGCACTCCAAAAATCTTATTCTACACTCCTTACAAGTGTATTTTTCTTTCCAAATATAGAAAGTTTGGAGTGTAAAATGAGAATTTTGAAATACCACTAACAATTCCCCAATACTAATAATGATGATGATGATGATGATGATGATATCGTACGAACATTCTAATTTAAGAGGACGCTAACTGTAATTTGAGAGGATGGTCTTAAGCATAACGAGCACTTCACCACTTGTAAAAACTTATTTGTGGAATATAAAGTAAAAAAACAATTGGTCTTTAGGTTGTAAATTTAAATCTAGATGTCTCACTATTTTATGGTTAATAATGGTAAACTATTTGACGTTGCAGCCCATTACAAGACTGAAGCAGACGTTGGGGAAGCACTTGCAGAAGCATTCAAGACTGGACTTGTCAAGAGGGAAGAACTTTTCATTACTACCAAGGTATGATCTTAGTAATTTAGAGCTTCCTTGAAAACACTTTTAAAATGATTGAAAGGGTTTTTGATGAAAATATTTTTAGAACCAATCTTTAGTAAGGATGCAAGTAAATTCTAGAAAAGCATTTAAGCGGCTTCCTAGAAGAAGCACATAACTGATGTTTTTTGCAAAAAAGCACTTTAACGGCTTTTGGAATCCAAAAACATTTTCTCTAAAAACGCTTTTAATCATTTTAAAAGCACATCCAAACAAGCCTTTACTTCTTTGGTTTGGAACTACTTTTATAAAATAATAATATGGTGGAGATTTAGGCTAAGCCGTAAAATGAACCCGTTATAACTAAGTATTGAAGTCTTCATCTATGAGAGTCAAATCTAAGACCTCTTACTCACAAACAAACATGAATATATCTAAATTGTAACGCTAGTGGTGAAGTATTAGTGTTTATCTCACGTTCTCTCAAGAAAGTGGCGTATAATTTGTTGTTGCTATAATTATATTGCAGGTTTGGAATTCAGACCATGGGTATGTGGTTGAGGCCTGTAAAAACAGCCTTAAGAAACTTCGGCTAGATTATCTGGATCTCTACCTAGTTCACTACCCATTGCCCACGAGGCATAATGGTACCTTCCCCCCTCTCTCTCTCTTTTAGGTTGGATAATTGGGATTGGATGCCATTCACATCCTCTTTGTGAGGTATCCTATATGTTTATCATACATTGTGTGATCATAAATAATTTTGAATTTTTTAATTTCAAATTAAATACAAACAGTACCTATGAAAGTTGATCGCACAATGTACGATAAACAGATAAAACGTGAGGATCCAGAAAAAAGATCCTCATCTTGATTATTGTATCACTCAACGCTGTGACGTTACAAAATTATAAGTAGTTAATTTACAATGAATTGGTATTTATTTTACTTGCTGTATGGTCACAGCCATTGGTCAAACTGCCAGTCTTTTGGGCAAGGACAAGGTGCTGGACATAGATGTAACAATTCCCCTTCAACAAACTTGGGAGGGCATGGAAAGGACCGTCTCTTTGGGCTTAGTTCGTAGCATTGGTCTCAGGTACATCCCATAAGCACTACACCTTCATCTCCGTATCCGAACTCGATTAGACCGGTGACTGTCGCTAAACCAAATTGTAATTGGCTTCATTTTTGCAGCAACTACGACCTTTTTCTAACCAGAGATTGCTTGGCTTACTCCAAAATAAAGCCTGCAGTGAGCCAATTTGAAACTCACCCCTACTTCCAGCGCCACTCTCTCGTCAAATTCTGCTTGAAACACGGTGTTCTTCCCACAGCTCACACCCCTCTCGGAGGTGCTGCGGCCAACAAGGATATGTTTGGTTCAATTTCACCTTTGGATGATCCAGTTCTCAATGTATTCTCTGTTTTACACATGCACCATTCACATGTCGTAATTACGATATAACAATCTCTGTTTCCTAAAACAATGAGCCAACCATAGAAATTAGATATCGAACATGTCATTCATGAGAGAAATACATCTAGACCGTAATGCTCACTTGAGTGTTTCATTTTCAGGATGTGGCTAAGAAGTACGGAAAGACTGTGGCACAAATCTGTCTGAGGTGGGGAATTCAAAGGAAAACAGCAGTGATTCCAAAGTCATCAAAAATTCAGAGATTGAAAGAGAATTTGGAGGTTCTTGAATTCCAGCTGAGTCATGAAGACATGGAGGTCATAAACAGTATAGACAGGAAATGTCGTACCAGTCTACCTTCCAAGACTTGGGGCTTAGATGTGTACGCATAAGCATGGAATTCAAAATCCTCCGACTTGCTGCTCCTGCAACTTCTTCAAAGGGTGTTAAACAGAAGCGAAATGGAAAGTATCGTGAACCTTAGTTACAATAAACTTAGCTTTATATAATTTTCCCAAGCTCGTCTATCTGCTAGTTCAAAAACTTCAGTATTCAGCCTTTGTATTGGGCATTGCAAATTAGAATATATAATAAAATGAATGCCATTGTAATTTTCTTTTGTATTAATAAATGAGTGATAAAATAAAGTGTAAAAATTACATATTGCATAACTATTTTGTTGCTTACTTGTTCATTTGAATCGAATAGTGCGGACTCACAAAGCTTTACACTCAATCACCTTTGCACTAGCTTTTGTAAGTTTGCGCTTAGTAAACAAATGGAATAATGGCGAGCCGTTTCTTGGGATAACTTTCAAATTTCTGGAGGTACCACCTATGTGTTTCCGCTGCTGCCAATACTAAGTTGGACACCTGAAAGACACCAAATAAGAGAGTAAAGCACACGGAGAAATAAGTTTACTTTAGAAGACGTCTGTCTATGCGTGTGTGCGCACACTCATGTGTGCATGTGTATGTACGTATATTTTCAGCACAAAAAAAATCATACCACAAATCCAAAAAGTAACCAGATTGTGAGATCTGTTCCTCCACTAGCGACTACAAGGCCAGCATATATAACCTTCATCATTATCAAAAGAGAAATTTAGCATATACATCAAGACTCGGAAAGATTTTTAAATTATTCGAGACAAAAGAATTCTCTTTAAGCATGCAGTGAGGAGAGTCAAGAGACTTACTATCTCAGCCAGATAGTGTGGAGATGAAACAATTTCAAACCAATCACCATGAGGAATCACATATTCATCATTTGGCTCACTGTGATCTCGTAATGAGCCCTGTAATAATATTTCACATGTCAGGAACATTATAAAAGTGAATGCAAGGACGATCGAGATAAGAAACACAATATCCGCATTCCCTAATTCAGCTGTATGAAATGAAATTAGTATATATGTCTTAGAATGCATGCTTATTTAACTGAGAGAGAGAGTGTGTGTGCGTGCGCGCGCGCACGCATGCACGGTGACACACACTGAGACATACAAGAATTGTGTGACATCGGCGCTGATGGATCCAACCCCAAAAAAATATAGCTGCACCAATCCACTGGAGCCAACCAAGCTTCAAAAGAGAGTTCACAAATTGTAACCAATCAAATTCCACTTGTCGCATGCTACTCTTGCCCTTGACAATGAACTCAGCCACTCCACTTATTGAAAATTTATAAACCTCCAGAACATTATTGCAGCAAAGTGACAGTGGTGCTGCTGTGTAGAAGCTAACGTCAAAAAGGAACAGAAATCAGTAAAAAAAATCTTCTATTCCACAATTTTGAAAACAGCAAAACACATGACGAGAACTGACAATTATGTGTGATAGTAACATTTATCATTCCAGAGCACACGAGGCTCGTCGGTTATGACTTCCGGTAAATATAGGTGACCACCGAGCTTTGCAATTATTGAAGCAATCTCTAGTATTTCCAATTTAGAAGATATCATACCTTGGAAGAAAGAAGAAAGTCATAGGCGTTTTAACTAGGCTTAACCTATTGGAAACTGCAGTAGGAGTAATAGAAAAATAGAATTGCAACCAGTTTTCCTACACTACACCATTTGATAATTGGTTTAACAAGTCTAACTCCCGTGTACGTATTGAAAGCCAAAATGGACAAAAACAATATCTTTACATATGTATATTTATATTGCTTTTTGAATCATAACTAGAAACCGAACTTAAATACGGTTAGCTCAAGAGGAGCCTACTGCGTCTCTCATAGGCAATTCGGCAAACACCGACTGTGCCAACTCTGTTAAACCAAATTTCAAATATTCCCAATACATTTTCAAATCAATCAAAGATTATAAATCAATAAAACAATATATATATATATGCACAAAAACAATATCTTTACATATGTATTTAAATGCATATGCACAAAACCAATATCTTTACAATGAAGGGGTTTGTGAATAACTTACAAGAGGCCGGTCAGATATCCGAAAATGTGCATCCGAGCGGAGGAGCTATAGTTGAACACATATATTGTCTCAAAGAGGCGCCTCAAGACTTGAACCTCCATCAATAAAAGCAGAAAGACCGAACGCCATATGCTATATCTGTAACTGACAGGAACCGAATGAACCTTGTCCCATGAAAAGATATGTGAACCTCCAGTGAAGTGGCTGGCGATTGAAGGGTAAAGCAACGATTCTGAAACCAATGGCACCGTTTTATACGCATACATCGAAGTTGCAACGAGCAATAGCGTTGTCCACGCTACAGCCACCACATAGAAATGGCAGAACAACTTTTGAGGAACTGTGAACTTCTACAATTAGAAAAAGTACAAAAATAAAAATAAAAATTCATCATGTAGTGTACAGAAAAATAAAAGAAGAATTCATAAGGACTTGTAGGTCGGTTGGTTAAGAACATTCAATCCCGAATATGATTACCCTCACTCTCAATATCGCCCATGATAATTGAACAGTTATACCGTGTTTCCCAATTTCTTCAACTTTCTCACCAACCAAACAGACCATAACCCAAAATAGACCATCAAATCCTTTACCTGAGATGACGACTGCATGATCTTCCCTCTCTTGGCAAACCCCAGAACAGCTCCATGAAACGAGGTCAGCCAAGAACAAGGTACGGCGGCTACGAGTATGGGCATAGTCGCTGCAACCCATGCTGTTCTAAGCAACCCAACAACACCCACCGCCATTAGAGCGAATACCCAAGTCAGAAAAGAGCTTAATGATTTGGGAAAGGCTGGAAACTGTGAAATTTAGGCACTTTCTCAACTGGCTCTTTTAAAAGTCTGCGCCATTTTTGCAGATAAAATGCACATTAAAAAAAGGAAATGAAAAAATGGACAAAGAAAATCAAGACATTTTATTGAAGAACCGAATGCAATCACGATTTACGGGGGAGTGGACAGGAGTCGCCAAGTTCAAGAGGAGATACTAATACCAGGCGTGACGTGAGGTTTTGGGACACAGGGTTAATGATCAAATTTTCAAGTCGGCAGGGTTAATGATCAAAATTTCCAGTCGGCAGGGTTAATGATCAAATTTTCATGTCGGCATGGTTAATGATCAAATTTTCAGATTAAATTTTGTAAACCAAATAATGTAAATAATGTAATCGTTGATGATTGAATAATTTATTAAGTGTTGATTAACGTAATTATTTATTATCATTGACATATTATTTAATTTGAAAATTTAGTTTACAGAGCGTTATACTTTGGCATATAACACAGCAGTGTCAAACAATGAATTTTTTAGATTAACTACCGACAAAGTTCGAACTTCTGCTATTTTAAGATATTTTTAGTTGGATATCTTTGAATTCAATATTACAATTATTTTTCTAACATACTGGGGCTTATTTATTCCTTCTATGCTGAAAATCTTATCATTTTAGATTTTCTTTCTTACTTTTATGTTTTTCTAACATACGGTCAATATGGGATATTTCAACACGTCCGTCACATGGAACCCAATTAGTGGGTCAATCATGAAATATCCACACGGGAACAACTAGCCAAGGGGACTCACCTTACATGCAGGCCAAGGGATTCACCATGTTTGTGCTGCACCAAGGGGCCCCATCCATCACGTGACAATTTAGTTCAAGCCCAATCCCTGACTTTGATACCATGTAAATTATCAGAGAGACGGTCGAAGGCCCACTTTCAACAACATCAATATTGTCCCCAACTTAGTAATTACTACCTGTACAATCCGTCAGGTATGAGGTTTTATCACAAAAAGCCTCGATTAGTTAAAGTAGGGTTAGAATATTTAAACTTTTCTTTTCTTAAAGATACAATCAATATGGGATATTTCAACACATCTCATGTTTTATAGTTTGGTCCCCGACCTGCTCTATCCTCTCTCTCTCTAACTTGTGACCCGTTCTCTTTAAAAAAATCCTTCAAACATGTTGTACAAAAATGGGGGAAATTGAAAAATTAGAAAAACACAAGCACCTAGGTATCCTCCTTACATGACTGCAACCACAAATGCGAGCATTTCTTTCTGTCACCATGTTTTGCAATCTATTGTTATCATACTCCAATTTTAAATGCATTCACCCAACTAAATCCAAGGGATTGGTGTAGGAAAAATCAATCGTAGTTTTGAAATGCTCAGTTCGAGTTTGAACTCTTACGAATGCATTTTTTGGGTCATTGACTTTGCTTTGGTGTCTTATTTGACTTAGAGGCCAAAAATACGATGTCGACTCATGTGGTACGGACTGCATAGGCAGGAAAACTAGTTTGTCATCAATATATGATGGGATACCTCATATATATTAAAAGAAATAGCACTCACATGTTTTGTTACGTGTAAGATTTTCCAAACAAACCGACTTTGGTCATATTCGTGTTAGACCAACACCAAGGGTAAAACCCATATCCAAAACCCAAATATTTAGATTTAAACCCAAAAATAGTCACCCAATAATAAGACCTAAACCCAAAAAATTTGACTGTCGACGCAAACGAAAACCCAAATTCTGGCTTCTATTGCCTAGCCGAAATGTTGGGCCGCCACAAAATGGGAGGATGATTTTGGTTAGTGGTCGACAACTGGGCCCCACGTGGCATGGGATCCCATCTGTCCATCATTATCATTTGGACAAAATTGAGCCTTGAAGTTTGATCAACGGTTCAGATTAAAATTTATTTTGAGTGATCTTTTGATTTTGATCTAATAATTCATATTTTTTCTTTCAAATTCGATGGTTGAAATTTAAACCCAACAGGCAAAATAATAAAATAAATTTTCTAAAACATATCCGCTTTAAAAAAATTATTCCAAACTATAGATACTCATAATTTCAACCAAACGGGCAAAATAATAAAATAAATTTTCTAAAGCATATCCACTTCAAAAAAATTATTCCAAACAAAAGATGCTCATACTTTGATCATTCATCTACATAAAATTAGTTTGTTCATTCATTTGTTGGAATTTAATTTTTTTTTTTTTTAAGTTAAAACACTCGGACAATTAAATTAAGATAACATAACTTAAAGTTACAAAAAAAAATCTTTACCAAAAGAAAAGGGTTAAAACCATTCCATAACAATGAATACATTTTAATCAGGTCTTGAGAGTTGGATGAAATTCACTGTTCACATACCTAAATTCCGCCTTCTAATAAACCTAAATATTTAGATTTGGATCCAAAAGTTAAAGTTGGTATCAGTCACCAATATAAAAATTGTTCAATGATTAGCTCATAGACCTATGAATTATTCAATGATTACCTCATAGACCTATAAATTATTTAGTGATTAGCATGTACACTATGTTAAGAAATGGAAATAATCGAATCTCATTTGTGTTAATGGTTCACCATGTCGGTAATCGTTTAGCAGTTTATATTGTGTTTTGTTCTTGTTAAATTACCACTATTCAAAAAATCTTTCGTCTAACGCCGCCTAGCCGTTAGACTAATGACTACCAGTTTAATTAATTTATAGATGTTTGAAAATTAAGAAAACGTATCTAGACCTACAGAGGCGTTTGACTAACTTGCCTAAGCACTTGTTAAGACTATCTAGACTCATCTGAGCATTCGATGCAACTCTCACTTTGACAGAAAAATTAATAACTTTTATTTTGCCTTTCAGACCAATGAAACGGGTAAGCTTTCCTCCTCCTACTTGCAAAGATTTTCTTGTTTTTCAATGCGTCATGAAGATAATTAGTGTCGTTGTTGCGCAGTTAGAATATTTCACATGCATGTGCTTTCTCTATCAATTGACCAGTGCACATGACCGCTAATTGTTTGACGGTGGCCCTAATAGGGAAATTCTTGGAGAGATTTTTTAGTGTGATCGATATATGGGATGGTACATCACTTGTTATTAAATAAATGATGAGACATGCATGGTAAAAAGTTAATAACTTAAAAAATAAAATTTCTCACAATTCCTATTAAAACATATAATATACCACTTGTATTCCTAGGCCACTAAGAGCACATATAATATACTACAAATTTCTCCAAATCCTAGGCCATTAAGAGCACGCGACGTACAAATGGCGTAAATGGATGGCTAGAAGAGGACAAGATGCCAATCAAAATCAGAGAGGAAAGGATAAATTATAAAAGGTTGTCAAAACTTGGGCTCTGTGGGAGTTTTCTTGCAGACTTGTTACTATATATATATATAATTGTGACTAGCGGTGTAATGTTGCATGCAGCTAGGAAGAGCGGCAAACAAGTGGAGAAATTTTTCATTGTGATCGGAATATGAATGATACATTTTGTGTTTTTACATAAGTAGTAAGAAATTTTACTTTATAAGTTATTGACATTTTAACAAACATATATTACCATTTGTATAATAATACATAGTATAACACTCCGTGTACCGATCATATTGAAAAATCTCTCCAACAAGAGGATGATCTAATATGCTGGATTTTCACCTGACACACGTGTATACCCCAATCCCCTCACGTTTGCAATTCTGCTAGCTAGCGTGAGAGACGTATGGTTTGGGGATTAGTATTTGTGTGGGCGGAATGAATTGCAGATTAGAACCTTTTGTCATGTCTCATGTCTCTATGTGACGTAGTACGAATTAATCCATCAATAGGTGTGGTGATATGGAGGAGGGCGGCATTGAGACGCTTGTTTCCTACTATCACTTATACTCAATTACGTGCGTACAACTTACGTGTTAACACAGTATAAAAATGTTCGTGCGTAATTTTGTTTACCTAGTTATTAGCATCTCAAAATCTCACAAAATTTCATTCAACCCTTGGGTTAAAACCTAAAATTTTTAGCCCATGAAATTTAGGTTTTAACCCAAAAATAAGTTTTCTGCCTCAACCATTCTGGGTTAAATTTTTACCCCCCAGATTATTAAAGGATGAATTTAAGCTAATTTTTTTCAAAAAATAACTTTAAAATATATATATATATATATATGTGGACTATCATAAATTAATTTTACGAATATTTTAACCTAAAAATATTTAAATTCTGATACACATTGAAAAATCACTAAACCGACACATGAAACTCATGAAACAATATGGAAGAATAAGAAACACATGATAGAGATGTATAAACACAAAACACATGAACAAACACATGGTTTTGGAAGATGGTAGAAAGAAAATTGGAAGAAATGTAAGAGAAAAATGAATTTTGTCTGGATGTTTGAACAAATACATAGGTATTTATAGAGTTTTTTAGTGAATTTTGAGTTAAATGATATTTTAAAATTATTTTAGCAGTTGGATTTAAAATTTGACTGCTAGATCTTTTTTTTTTCACCGTTAAATTTAATCATATTTAATGTCGATAGTTGAATTCACTACATTTATAAAATATAAAACATAAATATCACCTAAATTAAATGTGGACCGTTGGAGAACCAACGGCCCATTGGGCTCACTTTCCATTGCCAACACATGTCATGGGTGGGGCTGCACTTTGCAGCAATTTTTAATGTTGCAGCACGTTCATCCTTTGGGCGCGAGTGATTTTGGGCAATTGCCGCCCCACCAATTTAGTCCAAATAGAAGGCAAATTTCGAGACTTACTAAAAAAGTCGGAGTTGGTCTAATTATAGAATATAAAAGTGTCACTAGACATACCTACCAGATCACCGCACGATACGGGGCGTCGCATCATGACTAAAATTTAAAAAGCACTATTCACTCCATTATTGTCTGTGGAGCCAATCACTACTTCCCCAAGAGCCGTAAAGTTATTTCTTTTCTTTTTTAATCTTCCCCAGTATTCTTTATTTCACGCCGATGCAGCTATATAAAGGCATGAGCGGCACCAACCTAGTATCATAGTTCAAACTCAAACACAAAGGCGAGAGAGAAACGGAAACACGCTGCAGAAGTCTCTGAGAGAGTTTGGAGAGTCAGAAAGCATGTCCACCGTTACACTCAGCAGTGGCTACGAGATGCCGGTCATCGGCCTCGGCCTCTGGCGTCTGGAGAATAACGAGCTCAAAGGCGTCATCTTAAATGCTATTAAGCTTGGCTATCGCCATTTTGACTGTGCTGGTATGCCCTCCATCACTCACCTCACCCTGTTTTACATTAATCCATGCATATTTTACAATAATTCGTAGTATTTTTATGAATTCAATCAAATACTTACTAGAGGAGGGAGAATCGGATATCGGACTTGACGTGCATGGGCGAGTGTTCTTGACTCTTGGACACAAAGCTCCCTCGCTAGTGTTAACCGATATTCTTACTCATAGCTGTCATATTATAAAATCATTGTTTTATGTCTGCATACAGCGCTAAGGTTTGAGTTCATTTTCAGAAAAGAGCCCAACGTTTTTAAAGTTTTCATATGAATACCTAGCTAAGTTATTAAACGGTTGACTATTTTTGCCACGAGTGTTGGCAAACATTAATAATTTGCTAAAAGGAATCACATGCAATCATGCGTAAGTCTTTTTTATGAACAAGAAAAGCCATAAAGGCGGCGGTGATGCAATCTGAACATAACTTTTTTGGTTACACGTGAGACTAGCAAAAGGAAAAATGGATGTAATATATGTAAACGACTCAAACCATAGGAAGCCTTTGTCCAAAACCATGGGAAACCCGTTTGTTACTTTTATAATCGCTTAGTTACATTATATATATATATATATATAAGTGGTTATGATTCGCAGACATAAATTTTAACATTCATATTGTATGATCCACTTCGTAACATATTTGTTTACTATCAATTGTACTAAATGAATGTTTTATATTTTATTTGTTTAGGCCGAAAATGGTACTTTGGTTTATTCCAAAAATGGCAGTTTGTCTTTTAGGAGGCGGATAAATGCACCTCCCCTGGCCTGAATTGGCAGATTGGTTTAGGCACCGAGTTACTATTATAAATGTATGTGTATAAAAGTGGAGAAGACAAATCAGTCGCAGACCTTCGCTTCTTCTCTTTTTCGACCAATCCCATGTTTGCTTCTCCCCTTGGGAAAGGGAATAATAATAATAATAATAATAATAATAATAACAACAACAACAAAATAATAATGAAAACATCGTATGAACGCTGTAATTTGTGTGGACGGTCTTAAACATAATGAGCAATCCATCACTTGTAAAAACTTATTTATGGAATACAAAGTAAAAAACAATTGGTCTTTATGTTGTAAATTTAAATCTAGATGTGTCACTATTTTATGGTTAATAAGGGTAAACTATTTGACGTTGCAGCTCATTACAAGAGTGAAGTAGACGCTGGGGAAGCATTTGCAGAAGCATTTAAGACTGGACTTGTCAAGAGGGAAGAACTTTTCATTAGCACCAAGGTATGTTCAAGTAATTTACTTCTTTGGTTTTGAACTGCTTTTATAAAATAATAATCTGGTAGAGATTTAGGCTAAGCTGTAAAATGGATCCGTTGTAACTAAGTATTGAAGTCTTTATCTATGAGAGTCAAATAAAAAATCTCTTACTACCAAACGAATATGAATATATCTAAACTGTAACGCTAGTGGCGAAGTATTAGTGTTTATCTCACATTCTTTCAAGACAATGACATAATTTGTTGTTATAATTATATTGCAGATTTGGAATTCAGACCATGGGTATGTGGTTGAGGCCTGTAAAAACAGCCTCAAGAAGCTTCAGCTAGGTTATCTGGATCTCTACCTAGTTCACTACCCATTGCCCACGAGGCATAATGGTACCTCCCCCGTCTCTCTCTCTTTTAAGTTAGATTATTGGGATTCGATGCCATGCAGATCTTCTTTGTGAGATCCTCACATCAAATCCGTTTATTATACATTGTGTAGGTCATAAATCATTTTGAATTTTTTTCATTTCAAATTAAGCACAAACAGTGCCTACGATAGTTGATCGCATGATAACAATGAACGGATAAGATGTGAGGATCTGAAAAAAGATCCTCATCCAGATTATTGTATCACTCAACGCTGCGGCAATGAATTGGTATTTATTTTACTTGCTGTATGGTCACAGCCATTGGTCAAACTGCCAGTCTTTTGGGCAAGGACAAGGTGCTGGACCTAGATGTAACAATTTCCCTTCAACAAACCTGGGAGGGCATGGAAAAGACTGTCTCTTTGGGCTTAGTTCGTAGCATTGGTCTCAGGTACATCCCATAAGCATTTATGCTGCACCTTCATCTCCGTATCCAAACTCGATTAGACCGGTGAATGTCGCTACACCAAATTGTAATTGGCTTCGTTTTTGCAGCAACTACGACCTCTTTCTAACCAGAGATTGCTTGGCTTACTCCAAAATAAAGCCTGCAGCGAGCCAATTTGAAACTCACCCCTACTTCCAGCGTGACTCTCTCGTCAAATTCTGCTTGAAACACGGTATTCTTCCCACAGCTCACACCCCTCTCGGTGGTGCTGCGGCCAACAAGGATATGTTTGGTTCAATTTCACCTTTGGATGATCCAGTTCTCAATGTAAAGTATTCTCTGTTTTACACATGCACCATTCAAATGTCGTAATTACGATATAACAATCTCTGTTTTCTAAAACAATGAGCCAACCATAGAAATTAGATATCGAATGTGTCATTCCTGAGATAAATACATCTAGACCATAATGCTCACTTGAGTGTTTCATTTTCAGGATGTGGCTAAGAAGTACGGAAAGACTGTGGCACAAATCTGTCTGAGGTGGGGAATTCAAAGGAAAACAGCAGTGATTCCAAAGTCATCGAAAATTCAGAGATTGAAAGAGAATTTGGAGGTTTTTGAATTCCAGCTGAGTCATGAAGACATGGAGGTCATAAACAGTATAGACAGGAAATGTCGTGCCAGTCTACCTTCCAAGACTTGGGGCTTAGATGTGTACGCATAAGCGTGGAATTCAAAATCCTCCGAATTGCTGCTTCTGCAACTTCTTCAAAGGGTGTTAAACAGACGCGAAATGGAAAGTATCGTGGATCTTACTTACAATAAACTGAGCTTTATATAATTTTCCCAAGCTCGTCTATCTGCTAGTTCAAAAACTTTTATTATTCGGCCTTTGTTGTGGGCATTGCAAAGGAGAATATATAATAAAATGAATGCCATTGTAATTTTTTTTTTTTGTATTAATGAGTGATTAAAGGCTTTGTTGTTGTTGTTGTTGTTGTAAATGAGTGATTAAAGAAAGTGTAACAAATTACACAGAATCGAGCGCAATGATGTTCTAGGATTCATATAGCCGACTCCAGTTACTGGGAAAATGCTTTGTTTTTGTAATAAATGAGTGATTAAATAAAGTGTAACAAAGTACATATTGCATAACTATTTGTTGCTTACTTGTTCATTTGAATCGAATAGTGCGGAGTCACAAAGATTTAAACTCAATCACCTTTGCACTAGCTTTTGTAAGTTTGCGCTTAGTATGCAAATGGAATAATGGCGAGCCGTTTCTTGGGATAACTTTCAAATTTCTGGAGGTACCACCTATGTGTTTCCGCTGCTGCCAATACTAAGTTAGACACCTGAAAGACACCAAATAAGAGAGTAAAGCACACGGAGAAATAAGTTTACTTTAGAAGACGTCTGTCTATGCGTGTGTGCGCACACTCATGTGTGTACGTACATTTTCAGCACAAAAAAATCGTACCACAAATCCAAAAAGTAACCAGATTGTGAGATCTGTTCCTCCACTAGCGACCACAAGGCCAGCATATATAACCTTCATCATTATCAAAAGAGAAATTTAGCATATACATCAAGACTCGGAAAGAGTCTTAAGTTATTCGAACAAAAGAATTCTCTTTAAGCAGGCAGTGAAGAGAGTCAGTCAAGAGGCTTACTATCTCAGCCAGATAGTGTGGAGATGAAACAATTTCAAACCAATCACCATGAGGAATCACATATTCATCATTTGGTTCACTGTGATCTCGTAATGAGCCCTGTAATAATATTTCACATGTCAGGAACATTATAAAAGTGAATGCAAGGACGATCGAGATAAGAAACACAATATCCGGATTCCCTAATTCAGCTGTATGAAATGAAATTAGTATATATGTCTTAGAATGCATGCTTATTTGATTGAGAGAGAGAGAATGTGTGTGCGCGCGCGCATGCACGGTGATCCAACCCCAAAAAAATATAGCTGCACCAATCCACTGGAGCCAACCAAGCTTCAAAAGAGAGTTCACAAATTGTAACCAATCAAATTCCACTTCTCGCATGCTACTCTTGCCCTTGACAATGACTCAGCCACTCCACTTATTGAAAATTTATAAACCTCCAGAACATTATTGCAGCAAAGTGACAGTGGTGCTGCTGTGTAGAAGCTAACGTCAAAAAGGAACAGAAATCAGTAAAAAAAATCTTCTATTCCACAATTTTGAAAACAGCAAAACACATGACGAGAACTGACAATAAGTTAACAGGGCAGGGTTAATGATCAAATTTTCAAGTCGGCAGGGTTAATGATCACATTTTTGTAAACCAAATAATGTAATTGTTGATGATTGAATAATTTATTAAATGTTGATCAATGTAATTATTTATTATTATTAACATATTATTGAATTTGAAAATTTAGTTTACGTAGCAATATGCTTTGGCATATAACACAGCAGCCCCAAGCTTGAAAAATTATCAGATACTTTTAGTTTTTTTTTTTGTTAAACGATGAATTTTTTAGATTAGCCACTGATTAAATTCGAACTCCCATTATTATTTGATATTTTTAGTTGGATATCTTTGAATCCAATATTACAATTATTTTTCTAACATGCTGGGGTCTATTTATCCCTTCTATGCTGAAAATCTTATCATTTCAGATTTTCTTTCTTACTTTTATGTTTTGCTATCTTCTCTCATCTATTCCTTTTTAACTTCTTATTTATGTCTCCCTCACTTTGTATAACTTATTTTTTCGTTATCAATAAAATTTCTCTCGTACCATCGAGGCTTTTCAAAAAAAATCATTTTTAATTTCTCACACAATTGCTATCATAAACTTCCCCTTTTTTTTTTTTTGTTAAGAAAACTAATAAAAAGGGCTTCAAAACTTTAAGTTTTAACAAAAAACCATCATATAACACTTCAAAACTTTAAGTTTTAACAAAAAACCATCACATAACTTTATTTAATGATAAGGATAAGAGAAAGAAAACAAAAAACAAAAAACAAAATAAACTTAACTAAAAGCACGTGCAAAGAGCACCCATCCAATCCTTCAGTTGCATAACCCTTTGACATAATCCGAGCATATTTTATTCCTCTAAAATTAAAATTTCAAATTGAAGTGGGTTCAGTTTGATTCTGAACCATATATGGGGCAGTATGGTAGGGAGTCGGTCAGGTATGGGTTGGGATGGTTGGGGGTAAGGGTGGGGCAACATCATTGACAACATCTTTGGACTCATCACCCGTTTTCTAGTAATGGTATTGAGCTGTAAGCTATTCATGAATTTAATAGCATGGACGTTAATCTCTATCATGTTTTTTTAATCTTATTGCATTCTAATGAAAGAACTTGAATATCTGGGACGAGCATTTACTGTTAAGTTTCATAAACAGTGTAGTATCGATAAGTTTCATAAACAGTATAGAAAGTTTCATAAACAGTGTAGTACCTTTAAGTTTCTTAAATAGTGTAGTAAGTGTCATAAACAGTGGAGTAAGTTTCATAAACAGTGTATTAAGTTTCATAAACAATATAGTAAGTTTCATAAACAGTTTGTGTGAGGGGCGCGCGGGTCCGCGCTTCAATTTTTTTTTTCTTTTTTTTTTTTAATATTAAAATTATGTATTTTTTCATTAAAATTTAAGTTTGTTGATGCACAAAATCAGTGAGGACTTTAGTACAACAGAAAGTGTCAAGTTTGTGACCTTCGTTAGGTTGCTTTGGTCATTAGTGTGGATAAGTATGTAAATGAATAGAGACAGGGAAGCAAATAACACAAGATGTACGTGGTTCACCCAGATTGGCTACGTCCACGGAGTAGAGGAGTTCTCATTAGTTGTGAAGGGTTTACACAAATACATAGGTTCAAGCTCTCTTTTTGTGAGTTCTAGTGAATAGTTTAGTACAAATGACATTAGGGATTATTGTGGGAGAATGATCCCCTTTTATAGAAGAGAGTTTCTAGTTTTGTTGTGACATTGACACGTGTCGTGTTGTGATTGGTCTCTGATATCGACACGTGTTGCACTGTGATTGGACTCTGATACCGACACGTGTCGCGTTGTGATTGGCCTCCTAGTTGGAGGAAAAGTCTTGTGGGTCCTTGACGGTATGCTGTTGACCGGTGCTTAGTAGTTTCGAGATTGGTCAAGTATGGTACAAACAAAGTTTTTTGTCCTTTTTATTAAAATTTAAGTTTTTTTTTCATTAAATAAAGTTATAGCATGACTTTTTATTGATATAAATTTAGTTTAAGCCTTTTTCATGAAAGTTTTCTTTTTTATAAGCAGAAATTGAAATCAAAGGACACACCCACCTATTCTTCAATTGTAAGTTTTGCTTAAAAAAGAATCATTTTTGAATGATTTCAAGTGGATTTAGATGCTAGACGGTTTTGATTCAAGGTGTTTTCTTTTGTTCTTTTTGTCAAACGATAGAATTTGTTAAATTAGATGTTGGATTAGACACCAACAAAGGGGGGGGGTTTGAACCCATGCCATTATGCAAAGGCTTAACCCCTTTCCACCACTGTGGTAAATGACCACTTGCAATTTAAGGTGTTTTCCACTGATATGCATATGTTAAAGGAAAGTAAAATAAGATGAAGAAAATACAATTACAATTAATATTTTAACATAAAACGTTGTGGACTTACTAGTTCACCTACATTGATATCACTTGATGAATTACGATATGCAATACTCATGTAGAACAAATGCTTATGTCAATACTTTTAAAGTTGCTGATCTATGTGAATTCAAGGACGATGAAGTTCTTTATCCTCACCATAACTCGGGGTCGAGTTCTTTTGAAGTGGAGGGGACTGATGTAGTGGATCAAAGAGAAAATGGATCGTTGGAAGACAAAAGAACACAATGGGAATTTGCAGATTTGGCGTCTAAGCTCCAATTTGGGTCCATCACACCTTTTCGAAGAGGGAATGACACTACGAGTCAAACTCACTGCTTTACTGTGACATACGATAGATTTTTCCCTCCAGAGTCGTTTCAGCCTCCAAAATAATATTTTAATTTGTAATAAAAAAAAATCTGAGCTTTGAGTTGCCATCCAATTAATGTTGTTTTAATTGTTTGAGTTATTTGAGTTGTTCAAGGAGTTCTAATCAATCTACTTAAAGCCTTTTGTGGTTTTAATATACTCATTCAATTATCAAATAAACAAAGAACCTTTTGGAATTTCTCTCAACTTTATGATGGATTCCAGACTTGTTCTTCAAGGACAAGGATTAGTTGATAACTCTTTTGATCAATTCATGGTGCATCAATTGGTACCACAGTGGGTTTTTCCTGTCTAGGCATCGTTGATTGTTTTATCTATCTATGAGTAACCGTGATTGTGAACCTGCCCCTATCACTCAAGCAGACTTAGATGCTCAAAGAACAAATTACAACTTTGACTGCACAATTTGGATAGCTTCGTGGAATGTTGCTCCAAGCCATTTGCCAAAATAGCTGAAGAGTTGTCGGATGCAATAATCAGGGAGTTCTGAGGCCTCGTGTTCTAGACAATGAATCGGAGTTCGAGGAAGAAACCGTAAACCATGCCTGGTTAACAGTTGAAATCATAAAACCGCAACAACTTTCATGATTTTTGGATTAAGGCCGACATTCCAAATTTTGTGGGAAATCTGAAAATTGAAGACTTCTTGTATTGGCTAGTGGATGAAGTAGAAAGATTCTTTAACGTCATGGAGGTCCCTGAGACAAAGATGGTGAAGATGGTTACCTTCTGTCTTAAAGCAACTGCTGCTGCTTGGTGGGATCAATTATAGAACACCCGGCAGAGGCAAGGAAGAATTGAATTTGAATGTGGAGGAAAATGAAGCAACGCCTGATGGACCATTTTTTACATGCGGATTTGTTTGGCCCCAAAATAATATTATTGGGTCGAGCTTAGGTTTATGTTCGGTCCAAAGCTCTTCCAAAAATACTATAAGCCATTTAGTGGTCCATCTAGTGGTCATAAGCCACCCAGTTAGGTCGGCCGAGTCCTATTACAAGAAGGATTAATCTAGGTATGAGCGAATGAGTCGAATTCTAGTAATATAAGGAGTCTCAGTGGAATAAGGATGTTGAGGTTTGAGAAGTGAATGTGGCCGGATAAAGAAGTTGGTTCAAAGTCCTAATGGAGGAAGGATTGGCCGAGATCTATTTAGATTAGGATGAGGAATCCTAACCCAAGTATAGTTTTGGTTTGGCCATGATGAGGTTGGTCGCTATCAATAAGATGGGGGTGCATCATTCTAAGCCCCTCCAATTCAACAAACAAACTGCCATACGTAAACCCTTGCTCTACGCGAAACCTCTCAACAACCTCAAGATTTTTGTTTTCCTTTTTCGCCAACATATCTTCATTTTGGATAAACAGCACTGTGAAGGCAACCGGTGAACATCTTCAGTTTGGATAAACAACATTGTTGCCATAGAATCAGCCGATCGCGAAGCACCTTCAGTTTAGATAAACAGCACTGCGTCGAGATCGACTGATTACCTATCCAAGTCTCAGTTGAGAAGGATTTTCGAATCCTTATTGGCGGAGGTCATCTCATTAGTCTTTTCGGCGAAGTGGGGTGTTACAGTTTACTGGGCTCGGCACATTGAATGCCGAGTTTGTTTTATGATTGGGTATTCATAAGTAAGTTTTAGAGTTCGGCATTCTGACGGCCGAACCACATTCACCATCAAGACATACATCTCTTTTGAGTACCTGTGTCCATATAGTTTGGTACCGGTTCGGCGTGCTTATACTCTTACGAATATAATCACTGTAACTGAACCCCGCGTCGATGATAATTGAACTTCGCAAAACTAGCAGCCTTGTCTTTAGGCTCTAGAACCCGAATGCCGAGACGTGTTCCTTCCTTAGCTGTAGTCGCAAGATCAAGAAGTCAGCAGCGCACTTAACGCAACATCAACACATTGTACTCCTCAGCCAATGAGTTGGCACGCCCGCATCAACCGAATGATGTAGTTAGCTCATTAGTTACTTAATCTGCGCGCCACGTAGGCTTGGTAG